TAGATAGATAGATAGATAGATAGATAGATAGATAGATAGATAGATAGATAGATAGATAGATAGATAGATAGATAGATAGATAGATAGATAAATAAATAAATAAACAAATAAATAAATAAATAAATAAATAAATAAATTCCAATTTTTTTAATACATTTAATCTTAATTCTTAGTTTCAAAATGAATTCCTCAGAGAAATATTACTCACCGGACTCTTGCAAATATCTATATACGAGGAAGTTAACCTCATCACTGCTTATACTCATCTTTATTCCCGCTTAAACCATGAGGTCACGATGAAGGATATAACCCTAAAAAATATAAAAAAATAATACAGCATGTTAGGAATATGGATTTCTGTCCCAAAAAAATGGATTCATTACTCATAATGTAGTTGGGTCTAAAAATGGACAATTTTCAAATCTAAGATAATAGTTGGGAGGCATTGAAGTAATGAATGTGCATAAAACAAAACAAATTAAAACAAAAACAAAACAACCATTTACTACTTAATCTAGACTTAATCTGTTTTCTTCAGTGAACGATTACAAGCATATGAATAATCATTAATAATAGATGAATTTCTGTTCAGTAAAAAGTTTCACATTACATATATGAGGGATCATCATATCCATAAACGTTCATGGGCATCTATAACCTTCCTAGCCCTAACCAATTGTTGTTGTAGTTGTAGTTGTTAATGATGATGATGATAATAATTTGAGCAAAATCTCATGAGATTTATGACAAGACTTCAGGGTAAGATTGCTGAAATCCTGCAAACATTTTATAGGATTTGGGCTAGCTTAAAAAAACAAAATGAAAAATATGTCAGTGTCCCCTGAATAGCAATGGAAATCTGCTTCCCACAAACATACAGCTACACATAAAATTGTTGAAATGGGGGCATTATAAAAACACGTTTAGAAGATGTTTCTAATCAATCTATGGAGGAATGGATAAATAGGTCAAAATATGAAAACTGCTGGAGTGGAAATAATTCAGCTTCACACCTGTACTGCAAATGCTGCATTAGTTTTCTGGGAGCTTCTAGGTACAATTCAAGAAGCTGGTTTTCATTTATAAAGCCCTAGATGGATTAGCTTCCAAATATCTTCAAGATCATTGTTTTCCAGTTGGGACTGGCCTGACCTATGCATTTATCCTGGATGAAATATTCACCATTCCCTGCACACCTAAGACTGTGAGCTGCTACTGAAGATAGTATTTATTTATCCTTGATAGTATTTATCCAACACTGTGTGACAACAGCCTCCCAGAGAGGCAAGGCTCCACCAGAGTCCTGCCATCTTCCCTGGCTAAAGCAGAACACTTTCAAAACACCTTCCAGTTCCAATTCGCTGTCATGTAGATGAAGGTTTAGCGACAAGTATCATTATTATGATCCTGCAAAACATTACTGTTTGATTTCACTGGATTTCTAGTTTGATTTCTACTGTAAATTGTTGTCAACTGATTCAATTCAGTGGCATACAAGTATAAAAATACTGAGGGTCTGTAGGAAGAAGGATTTGAGTGGGTAAGTGGAAAAATTAGAATACAAGTGTGGGAGATGGAAAAACAAGCAGAGAGAACATGTCTGGTTTCCTAACAGCTGTTTACACTGTATGTGTACACACACATACATACAATATATGTGTGCATACTTGGGAAATCCTAGCAATGATTTGATCAGCTTGGTTGGTGGCTGTTTCCAGCCCATTTTGCTTGAACTTGAAATGCTAAACAGGATCTGGTTCATACCTGGATGGGAAACCACAAGCAAATTCCAATTATTTGGGGCTAGAATAAGAAATTAAAATAAAATAAAAAATCACAGATGAAGGCAATGACAAAGCACTTGTGCTCTATTGCCAAAAATGCTACGTGGCTGAATCCAGGCTCATAAAGTCTCTAGAACTCAAATTCAGTTCAAAGAGGTTTTTTTTTTCTTTTTACCTTTCAACCATGTTTTGATTTGTATTCCAGCTATGGCAAATAACTCCTCGCTCAACCAATATTTTTGCAGTTGCAAGAATATAAGCACCACAGTCGCCCCAAAAGTGGGAAAGGGGAAGGAATCAGCAAAACCAAGATGTGTAACTCAAAGCACTGAAGTATGTTCTATAGTTGATGTATGGGAATTAATTATTTATTCATCAAAGATTAAATTCGCAGTGACAGGCTGGGGATTTGGATGAAACCAACATTTTTAAATAAACAGCAGTCTGAAGGAAATCACACTCAACTAGTAGGTGATTTTAAAAAAAAATCTTGCAAAATGGTTGTTAAAATAAGCCATAATTTTTTTTGTCTTTTCGTTATACCAGGGGGATTTTATTTACTAAAACTTGTTTTTTTAAAAAAGGTCAAGAGCTCTGCTAATCACCCAGCCTCAAAATGTTTTCCAAAGGTAGATCAAAGTGTTTTCTTTCAAGAGAAAAAGGGAATGAGAGAAATAAAATTGTATTATGAATATACATAAGAGGCTTCCATCAGAATGGACATGAGAGGGCAGTATGACATAAGTATTTGAAACAGCCAACAGCGAATGACAAATCAAAGGAAGCTTGTGAACTAAATGGGGATTATTTTTTCCAGTGAGAGTATCACAGACTAACCTGATTAGAAAGGCCTAATCTACAGGTACTGATTATTTCAAGAGACACCCTTTGGAACGAGCTCCCCGTGGAGATTCGTACCCTCTCCACCGTCCAGGCCTTCCGCACTGCCTTGAAGAACTGGCTCGCCCGTCAGGCCTGGGGATAAGAATCGCTACCCCGCCCGAATGATGAATGGATGTTGCTTACTATTTTATTATATGTTGTTGTCTTAATGTTGTATTCCCCTCTCCCTGGTTTTCTGTGAGCCGCCCTGAGTCCCCTCAGGGAAAAGGGCGGCCTACAAATGCTAATAAAACCTATAAACCTATAAACCTATAAACATCCAAAATAAGCATGCCTGCCTTTGTCCACTGTGATCCTTTCATCTTTTGCACGCCTGAAGCACCAAGGCACAGCAGAAATTCTTGCTTTACCACAAGGTATATCGCCCGGACTCCAGTCTTAATTAAAATCTTACCCAAATGCTGCCTCAATTTTGGCCAAGAAAGGAGAATCGGGATTCTTCACAAAGAACAAAAAAGCCCAGAAATATAAAATGTGTTGTTTCAAGAATAGAAACCCCCACGTGGCACCCTGGATAGCAAGAAACCCAGAAACACCTCTCTTGATGCCAGCTTTTTTTCTTAAAAGACTGATTTAATTTTAAATCAAACTTTAAAAAGAAGGTGGCAGGCCATAACGTAAGGCCCTAGCTTCCAAAATTGGCTGTTATTTTCAGTTGTCTTAAATTCCACAGATTCCATAGGGTAGCTTCCCACCACCACCCAAAAGGCTGAAAGGGATCAAAGCTCTGCAAAAACGTGAACACGGCTAGAGTGAAAAGGGGGCAAAATAATACATTTAATTTAATTAATAAAATATAGTTCCTATATCCATCATTTCCCCCTTCTTAAAAAAAAAATGGAGGAATTCATAGAAGGCAGCAGCCTATGGCTTTCACATTATGCACTAGTTGTAAACATTTTTAGAAATAGAAGTGGCGATCACTGTAGCCCAGTCCTTTGTTTATAACGACACCTATCTGTCTAAAAATAGTGTTAAAGGCGTACTTGATTGTTAGGATGCATCCAGGGAAAGTAGATAAGGCAAAAAAAAAAATGCCATCAATCCCTAATGTTTTGTGATTGGCAGCCATTTTGTGAATGGGCAAAGCCAGGGTGGCAGCCATTTTGAGGATGGGCATGTCCATTCTTACACCAGTCAGTTTAGTTTTTTTAAACTGTCAAATGTTACCCTGGCCCAGTTTGGGGCCAATTGCCTCAGGGACTTTTCAGAGACAGGTGTTTTCTTAAGAGAGACAACCTTTCCTTTTCCACTCTGGATTTTATACCTGTAATTTTTATCAGAAAACATCCTGTAGCCTTACACTCATTGCAGAATTAATTTGTAGCCTCCAGCCAGGCAGGAATTGTCTATGTCTAATTTTGGGTCATGTCAAAATCTGATTAATTTGTTGAATAACAGGTTTATCACCCATAGATACATTAAACCACAACCATCCAGAAATCTGATCAGGTGGGAATATGTCAGAACACAAACAATCAAATCCTTACTAAAAAGGCATGTTTCATTCTTACAATATTCTATAATAATGGAGGTTGGACACACTCTCTCTCTCTTCTGAAATCCTATGTTGCAATGGTCTTAAAAAGGAGAAGCAGCTGCTGCACTTATCCTAATTGCCTTAGCAAGATCCACTTCTAGATTTCAGCCATTTCTTGCAAAACTAAGAAAGTCAAAGCGATGCAATCCAATCCTCTGCTTTCTATGGTGTTTACTTAATGCTAAAAATTTCCCAAGAGAATTTTTTAAGGAACCGCCAAAGAATAGACAAGAATGAGGCTGTGTGGTCTGGTTGATGAGAAAAGAGAAAATGGTGCAATTAGGAAATGCACCTCCCAAATGCCTTTATATTTGAATTAAGAGTTGGTCTCTCCTTGCTTTTCTCCTCAATGGGGGCTTTGATTTACATGGGCTGCCTACTTGCTCTTCATTGCTGTTGGATTATAAATAAGCCCCTGTGTTTATCCAGCCAGAGCCTAACCTCTGCCAAAAATGCTTTTCTCTTCTCCCTCCCCGTTTTTGTTGGTATGAATCAGGTTCTACTGTACTCAGATTGCAGTAAGAGTCAAAGGGAGACCAGTGTTTGAATAAACAATGTACAAAGTCTCGGTACTAATGAATATGCATCGGTACGGAATGAGTTCAAATTCCAGGCCTCTTATGTTGAGGCTATCAAACCACACATATTGGAATGATCATACTTGGAACACAATTGTTCATGGTCCATATACACCCACACACACACACACACTCTTAGTTTTTGGCTGCTCCTTAAAAAATAATCATGTCTGTAGCCACCATGAAAAAAATGTTTGAAGCTGGGAGACAGTGCCCAGCCAGATTTATAAAGGAATCTTCTTGTAACCGAAGTGGCCACTGAAACATGACCTCCCCAATCCAAATTTAAACATCCTGGCTGCCCAAGGATGAGGGCATGACACACAGCAGCAATGCTGGCTGATCATGTCACAGTTTCACATCAACAGTTACTTCAGATTTCCAATGCTGATGCCAAGTTTCAAATCTTGGATGGATTTTATGGCCACATTATAAATACCTAATACATAACAGGGGAATGAAGCAGAAATGCTGACCTAACCTTCTACCGTATCTTATGGGCTATG